AGGGAAAGGGAAGACGCCTGTGTGGAGGTGCAAAGGATGCACCATTGAAAAAGGTGCTTAGTGTCTTGGGAAGTCTTGAGTGTTCTTGATTAATGCTTAGAAAAAAGGATCACGTGCAGAGGTTGCTTCAGTGCCTGTGCTGCTGGTGGTGGGCTGCAGAGGCGAGCGGTGTCATAAAGCCTGTTGCTTTTGTGTCTCCTTGCTCCCTGCAGGACGGCCGTACCGTGGAAAACCCAGTGACATGTGGGCGTTGGGTGTGGTGCTCTTCACCATGCTCTATGGCCAGTTCCCCTTCTACGACAGCATACCTCAGGAGCTTTTCCGCAAAATCAAGGCTGCCGAGTACACCATCCCTGAGTGAGTACAGCCTGTCCCGGGGAGGCCCTTCTCTTAGTGCCTGTGCGGGCGGTGCTCTGGGCCATACTGGGACAGCCGGAGCTGGAGGGGCTTCAATCAAAGCCCCTGAGGGTCGCAGCAGTAATGAGAACAAAGACTGTACGCAGTAGACACCAAGGAAGCGGTAGCGGAGCTGGGACATCTTGCGCAAAGGTGAGAAAGGCCCCGTGCTGCAGGGACAAGGAATCAACCTCCTGGTTAATTCTGGGGTCTCGGTCAGAGCAATGGTGGCTCCTCCAGTTCTTGCCCCGTGCTCCCAGCATGTCCATCCTGCTGCTGCCTCTGCCCTCCTCGTGCGCTCGGCCTCACCACGTGCTCTCTCTCCCAGGGATGGACGGGTCTCAGAAAACACTGTGTGCTTGATCCGGAAACTGCTGGTCTTGGATCCGCAGCAGCGTCTGACAGCTTCTGAAGTGCTGGATTCTCTCAGCTCCATCATAGCATCATGGTACGTGCAAGAGGAGAGACAGGAAGATGGCGTCTCTGGCCGCAGGCTGTGTTATTCCAGCTGCGGCCAGCAGACTGCTGCCAAACAGGACACCAGAGGATGATCTGTGAGAACTGCGAAAAAGTCTTTAAATCCTCTGTCTCAACCATTGGCGTCTGCTGATGGATCTGGCCCGTGCGGCCTGTACAAATGCTCGTCGCTGTCACCGAGGTTGGAGTCTGTAAAGCAGTGACATTACAAAACAGTACTGCGGTATGGTAGAGCCTTTGCTCCCGTGCCTTCCCTCGTGCTCGCCAGATTTGAATTTTAAAGAAAGTCAGGAGCATCTTACATGTACAAAGAGAGGCAGCCAAATGCAGATGCTTCCTGGAAGCTTGTAATTAGCACTGCTTATCCATTAAGTAAAAGCCGGCATGAGGTCTCTAGAGGGGAAGAGCAGACGATGCCATTGCAGGTGGGAACACTGCACATGCAGGGTGGGGATGACTTTTGAGGGTAAACCTGACTCCAGGACTGGCATGCACCCACTGGGATGAGATTCCAGTAGCACACTCCAGCAGAAGTGGATCCTGGAGGTGTTTGCTCGGTGCAGCCCTCTCTTGTCAGCCCCATGACCTTCTGTCTGCATGCCTGGGCAAAGTTCTTGTGCTGCCTGTTGAGTCAGCAGTGAAGTCTGTGATTTTTGGAACTGTGGCTGTTTTCTCCCCTACCTATGCAAGAGTTAGAGTTCCACAGCCTCTTTAAAAGAAAAAAAAAAAGGCAGCTTGGGGGATTTTAACATGAGTTCATCCCATGGAATGAATATGAGTTTGGAATGGCATCCTGAAGTAGCCGTAGCTGGTGTGACCCCTAGACAGTGCTGTGCCATGCTCTGGTGGGATCGCCCTGGCCAGGGTGTTGGGTGAGGGTGGGCAAGCTGGGGCTGTGCTCCAGGTCCCTGATGCTGTGCTCTTCCCCCAGGCAGTCCATGTCCTCGCTGAGTGGCCCTTTGCAGGTGGTGCCGGACATCGATGACCAAGTGGCGAACCCTGAAAACCCCCAGGAGGTAGGTTTTCCTACTTTCCTCTCCATGGAACTGCTTTTCTGTGCCCCTAAGTCTCTCTGTAATGGAAAGAGGTGGCTGCGCTCTGTGGCCCCTGAGCCGGTGAGGGGAGGGGGATGAGGACCCAGCTGCGGCCACTGCTCTGCGAGGTGGCCAAGTCCACCGCAGTCCTGTGCAGCGGAAGGAAGGGCTCATGCTGCTGGGACCGGCAGTCACACCCAGCTGGCTGTGCTGGCTGGAAGCGAGCTCGCCGGCCCCGGAGCTGCCTGAGGGGCAGCTTGCTCCGCTCTGAGCAGCGCTCGCTGCCTCGCACGCAGCTGAGAGCTCACGTGTGCTGGGAGAGCTGGGAGGAGGTGCTGGTGTTGGCTCGGGCTCCCTGGTGAGTTCTGCGATGGGAGCAAACATCCTGTTTTCTTGCCAGCGTATTTTGTGTTGGAAGTGGTGGCCGGTGACCTCACTGCCTGGGGACAGCCTTGTAGAAGCTTTTGCCTGTGATGCCATCAGAAATCCCTCCGCAGGGCTCGGGAGGGATGTGAGAAGTGGGGTCAGACAGCTGCAGCCCCTGAGTATCTGGCAGGGGTGGGATGAGCTGTGTCAGGATGGAGCCACTGAGGCTTCCAGGCCTCTCTTCCTGGTGGCACTAGTGGCTCGTGGGGAGTCCTGTCCATATGTCTGGCAGCAGGTCCCATTCTTGCGTTAAGCCTCCAGTTATCCCGTGGTCGCTCAGGACTGTGGGAGAGGAGCTGTGGGACCGTTGCTTGTTGCTGTGGCGCTGACGGGGTGCTTCCCTGGCAGGTGAAGGTGACGGAGGAGTGCTCGCAGTACGAGTTTGAGAACTACATGAGGCAGCAGCTGCTCTTGGCTGAGGAGAAGAACACCTTGCATGAGGCCAAGAGCTTCCTACAGAAGCGGCAGTTTGGGAACATCCCCCCAGTGCGACGCCTGGGCCATGATGCCCAGCCCATGAACCCTTTGGATGCAGCTATCCTGGCCCAGAGGTACCTTCGGAAGTAGCTTCCCACGCATCCGAGAGCACAAGCACCATCCTGCAGTCTGCCTTTCACGTCGCCTACTACAGCTCAACAGCAATACCGGTGTCCCGTGATGGAGAATAATGTAGCATTTCTGAGCTCTGTTCAGGGACACGCACTCACACTCGCTCTGGAGGGAGAAGACTTTTGGAAAAGCTAGTTTTGGAAGCAGCAACCTCTTGGCATCTTCTGGAATCTGTTTTTTAAATCGAAGCCTAGATGACTAATCTGCTTTTAATCATGACTGTAATCTACCTCTCTTGTCTTTTTAACCATGCTGTTCTCTGGATCGAGCAAAGCCTGTGGGAAAGGAGAAGACTACCAAGGGTGAAGCTGGTTTGCTGGCGCAAGAGTCGCGGCTGTGCAGTACGGAGAAGTCGGCTGATTGCATTTGCTCCATATGGTTTGAATAAGCTTAGATTTATCAGGGTTTCTTGAAAGGAAGAATTTCTTGAAACCTCCCACTTCCCTTCCTCTGCATCAAATTTTTTTCTGTCCTTACCGTGCCACCTGGCTTGGCTGTCGTCTAACCCTCGGTGGCCGTGTGTGGGCTGCAGCGTGCTGAGGCCTTCGTGAGCGGCACCGAGAGCCGCCCGGTGCGACCGGGGTCTGCCCGGGGAGCCTGGCCACCGCCTCAGGCGAGAGTCGTCCTTGCAGGCGATCGCTGCAAAGGTTGGATCTTGTCCGCAGGTCAAAGGTTTTGCAGGACTCGGCCCGGCGTGGCCTCTGACCTCCTTCCCACCTTTCACTGATTCTTTTAGTTTCATAAGGATATATGATTTAATCTTATTTTTCAGTAGCTTATCTAAGGTGCAGTTAAAATTGCATTAATTCTGAGTTAGCATTTTCACACTTCAGTTGTGGTACAGATATAATATATGAGTTATAATGTGAAAAAGCTTCCCAAAATAGTCTGCCTAGAATTAGGAAGGGGCTGGCTGAAGTCTCTACTGTATTTGTTCCCTAGCTTATCTTGCCATCCCAGCCTCACCACGCAAACTGGGGGCCGCCTCTGCTGTCCCTGCGTGGTGCTGAGGCGGGAGCAGGATGTCCCGGTTTGTCCACCAA